AAAACGGAATCGTTCGACTTCTTTGCAAACAGAAGCACCATGGACGTTTAATTAACGGACATTTTATTTCTAAAGAAACGTCGAGACGCAAAGAAAATTACACCAAACAAGAGACAACCTTGCTTCATGAATTCAAGAGAAGCATTGTAGATTTATAATTACTTGAAGAAGCCCTCGAGCGTCGGAATTGCAGAATTTTTCTTCCTTAAAATATCCTTTCTGCGACGAGGAGACAGTTGTTTAATACTTAAATCCACCGTGCTCTGATAGCAGACGATCAGAGTCTTTGAAATTAAAAAATACAGGTCTGCGGTACCCCAGGTGTAGATTGCTTCAGCATTTTAATTTACTGGCTCGACGACGTGTCGCTGAGAAGATCGTAGGCAAATCGATCGCGAATTCTTCGGGCGTAATCTATTCCCCGAGCTTCGCGAGTTACCGACCACCTTTTTTCTCCCCCCAGAAGTTGCAAACTCGCAACATCTTCTCAAGAAACGATCGCTATTACATCGCGTCGAAGAAAATAAGAATCAAGAGACTCGAAGGAAGTCTGTAGGAAAATCTGAACTTCGCTGCTACGAGCATAATCTCAGCGTTTCCCGTCAATTTATAACAAACTTTAATTACACCTCGTAGTTTTTCCTCCCCCAAAGCCCTGACGATTCTAACAATTCGAATCGTTTGTTATAAAAGTTAACATCCGACAACAGGTGTCTCGAAGATGGAGCTCCAATTACAAATATCAAATTGCGCGGAGAAAGAACGTAATACATTTAAAATATCTCGAGCGACGCGACATTGGCGACTCCACGGTGCCAAGCATCCCCGGTTGGCATAATCGTATCCTGCGCGGCGTCGCGCGGCCAATTAATTATTCGCCGACCGTGATATTAATCCAGAAGTCGACGGGACGTTGATTCGAGAAATTCGAAAATTTCCAGGAAAATGTTTTGTTAATTTCTCGACGACCGGGCTCTCTCCCGCCGGCTGGCAAATCGGGTTCCGCGGGCTTGATTAACCATTCATCCGAGAGAAGTGGCGTCGCGGCGCTCCTTTCGTCCGATATCGCGAAGTTGGATAACAAAAAAAAAGAAAAAAGTTCTCTCGTCCGGCAGAAGCGAAACTCGACGCAGCGAATCGAGCTCTGAATTCCTTGTTAGGACGGGTACAGGGTCGCTGGAACATCCTGTAAACGCGTTACACGGCCTAATTTTTTGCAGAGGAACCACCCACTCGTCGAACAATGGGCGTCGATTCGGTGTCTTGCGTTTTCCGGGTCGTAAACTCGAGCTCGTATCGTCGAAACGTGTTTGGTGGAATACGAGCAAGAGTTTCGGGAGTCCAGGTAAAGGGGAGGAATATAGTTTAGGGCGTACGATGGGAAAAGTAGTTGGAGCCAGTAATGATCGAACGTAAGAGGAAAATCGTGAAACTCGCCCGACACTGTGGATTTCATACACCGTGCAACTTTGTTTCTTCGTTGTGGCTGAGTGTGCTTAGCTACCCTGGGCTCTTTGCAAATTTCAATTAAACCATTACGAAGCTATTGGACCGTGTTGCGTCACGGAGTCATGATCAGGCGCTTCGTGGAGATGTACGCAGCTCTCGCAATTAATTATTTCGATAGAAGCTAGTTGAAGCGACGTGTACTGACGGGCACGCGAAACTTGCATCAAGCTAAATACATACATACGTGTGTTCTGTTACAAAGGTCCGATGTTCTCCGTCGATTTTTCATGAGTGAAACCGTGGAAGAATAATTAAATCTCTCTCAAACCTGGTACATAAGAATGGCCCACTCTTCAGTCGCTAATTAGTTCCAAACAATGTACCAAGTTTTACTAGTAGACATTCACCGACGAAAGGGTTCGTTTCTGCTTTTCTGTCGCTATCCGTAACGCAATCTATCCCGTAAAAAAAACCATACAACACTCTGGGAACTCCTTCGTACTCCAACGGTTTCGCAAATTCCATCGGAGGGTTGAAACTTTGTAATGTAACTTCATCACTTGTACTTGAGTTACTAAACTTGGGAAAAACACGTCTCCCTTACATAGCAGGGAGCCTTCGAAGGCCCACAGTTTCGAGGGGGGGAGCAACAATGGACAATTATTCTTCTTAATATTTCATATTATTTGCAAATCTTCAAAAACTCTTGAACGTTTGAATAGTTGATCCCAATTTAAGGATTAAAATTTCTAGATACTATCGACGCAAAAATCGAAGCTTCGTTTAAGGGAAATTCAAAGAGGATCGTAGCAGGGATGATCGTACGCTTATCGACGCGATTTCGCGGGAAGAATAGCGTCGATGACGGGGTGCATGTAAAAGACATGCGTCTTTCGGACCACGGGGCGCTCGGTATTCCGGGCGGCTGAAAGCGGCGGCGGCTGGTAATACTCTTGAAAAGTAGTCCAAGTGAATAATGACTCCGCACAATGGAGTTTCGAGACCTCTCGCGCGCACGGGAGGCGCGGGGGGGGGGGGGAGGCTTAAACTTTCCCGGGGCGCATTCTTTCGACCCCGTATTTACTTTTCTCGAGCGCATTAGCGCGCGATGCCGAGTTTTCGCGGTTCCTGCGGACCGTCTTTAAATTTTTCAGAGCTTGTTGCGTCCCGATCCCCTGGCTCCGCTGGAAAACTCATTTATTCCCGCTACGAGATAAATATTCTCCAACCAGCCAACCCCCGGCTAGTCCGAGGGAACGCTCTTCGAACTGTTAGACATCCGGGTTGTAAATTAGAAACATTTTTCCGTTTTTCGCTACGTCTCCGTTTTCAACCTCTAATCGTATCGTTGTCAAGGGGTTCGAAAAACTTCAAAATTGAAACGATCGTAGGCGTTTCGAAGATCGAAGGGCGATTCTCGTGTCCGCGCGAAGGGGCGTAATATCCATGGAAACTGGTTCAAGAGAATAATGACGCGAAACAATGCGAGGTAGTCGCACCCCTTTCGGTGTGACCGTATTCTTTGACGACGCCGGCCACTTTCGTCGAGTCGCGGAATTGCTTTCACCTTTCGAGCGCAACTGCAACCGACCCGTGCACCCGCATGTGCGGAAAGAGACTTCTAAGACGGCTGCATTCCGACGAGGAAATCCTCGACGACTCTATGCTCTCGCTTCGTAGGAAACAACACGAACAGATTACTAAATAAATTAAGAGATTCTACCGCCGCGGTAATCGCGTCGCCTTTTTCTCAACCGTTTACGTCGGTGGATTTACACAGCAATTCTGGTCACTTGCAATTCACTTTTAAGTACGTCTAGTGTCAGTGTCATGGCGACGTTTCCTCCACGTTTCCTTTTCTTTTCTCCCGCTGTCTCACTCGCTTCCTCCTGCAACAGCAATCGTGAACATAAATATTGCCGAATTCTTCGCTCGGAATTTCATAATAGAAGGTTCAAATTCCGCATCAATATAATATAGAATTCCCTGGAGGCTTCCCAAGACAATATACACACTTCAGAAAATCCAAAATATAACAGAACAACTAAACGAGTACTACAGCATCCCGAACATCCCGAAAACGGTAAATTACAATCGAATACCACCGAACCGTCGTCTAAACTCGGCGATAAATCATCGATAAACTTGCTGGCTGGCCGTGGATCGAATTCGTACGAATCCAGCCGCTTCTCCCGCGAGCTTGATACAGATTACTCCATCCCGATCGGATACCGGGAAAGTATTTCCCCGGAAACGGCGCCGAGATCCTTGGGAATCACGGAGCAATCGGGTCCGACGAGAGTCGGTCGGATATTCGATCTCGTTCCTTCCCGACGTTCACCGCCATTTGTCTTCTCCGCTCCGGCCATTCAAGCTTTCCCTTTCCTATTTTTCTCCCGCGGATCTCTCTCGTTCTTTCTTTCCCCGTAGTTCGGTGCTTCCGGGAGAGGGGTGCCGCGCACCCGGCACGAACAAAATCATAAAAGTTTTAGCCTACAACTCCGAGACGCGAGGCCAAAGCCCGGCTCGCGAGAAGAGAAGCTTTTCGGTGTTAGTCGTTCCGTAACGCTCCCAGTCGTTTGTGTTCCCATCTTGTTCGCGTCTGTACGCTCCTATCCTCGCGTGCACACCCTCTGGCGTACGTGTCTGGCCGCGTGGCGGCCACGTCCACGACGCCCCCGCGTCTCGATGTGTGTGCGTCCGTGAGAACCAGCCGAGTTTCGTCGGCCATTAGCAGCAGCCGTCGGTCCTGAAAATCAGAAAACTTCTGAAACTGATCCCCCCGCCCGGCATCCGCCGAGCCAATTACTTTCCTCCTTGCGGATTTATCGTACGCGGTCGGATATTAATTGTAGCCTCGACGTCGCTCGTCCCCGAAAGCGACAGGAAGACTTTGGCCACTCCGCCATCCCCTAACTGGAAAGAATAGCCGCGCGTAGGGAGTTAATTATTTGATACGTGCTTATTTTACGCGACGTTCTGCTCTTTGTCGAATGTATCAATAGATCTGAGAAAATGTAAGAGTGTTTATATTAACTCTGAGGAACTTTAGATGAATAGGAACTCATTTTGGAAGGATATTTAACCCTTAACTGGGGCTCTCAATCTCAACTGAATTGGGTAAATGGAAATCAACTTTCCTTTAGAGCATTTAAAAAATGATGAACTAATGGAGGATTACATAAATTTTAAAATAATTACATTGACATGATAATACCAGACCTCGCACAAGTTTAGTAACTCGTCAAAAGCTATGGTAGAGGATTACTACTTGTTCCAGTCTTTACAAAATCCCAAAGCGACGATGTCAACTTTTTACACCCAAAGATGAGACCATTTATAACAAAGATGGCAAAAGATTCTGGACCAAAATGGCCACCAATCCAATAAAATATTAATACATTACAAAAAAAATTCTTCCCTTTCGCGAGGAAGAATACTTTAGCTCGATATTTCTCGAACCGTCGAGTACGCTAAGAGTAAGAGTAAGAAAGATGGCCGACGTTGCTGGTCGAACCGCGTGAAACCTGACGATCGACCCTGTTTTACAGAGCGTTTACAATCTGCTGGGGGAGACGCTGTCGAGGCTGCAACAGTACGCGGAGGCGGAGAGGTGGTTCCAGGCGAGTTTGGCCAGCCAGCCTGACCACGTGCCGGCCCACATCACTTACGGGAAACTTTTGGCTCGAAACGTAAGTAGTTGCCGGCTTTAGATCGGTTCCCTTTCATCAGACCTGCGATCCAGTTTCCGGAGTTTACCGCGGCCCGACCGATATCGTTCGGCGGAATTTCGTGGCCGCGATACCGCTGCACGGGGGGCGAAGAAGGGGGGTGGAAAAATGAAACGCCGCGGGGGAATCTCTGGCGGAGTTCGCGTGCCAAAGAACACGGAACTTGTCCGGAAGAGTGTTCCCGGCGATGTTCCGCTATCCGCCCCGTTCCCACGGACCCTTTTATTTCATTTACTTTCCCAGAATCCGGAATATCGAGAAACTTTCCACCTCACCCTTGATCTAACGAGAAATCGCGCGTGGAATTTTGCGGTTCGAGGCCTCCATTTTGGTTCGAAACGAAGTAGATTTGCCTCGAATATCGGTCCAAAAAGCGAGTAACCACTGAAGGTTTAAACATAACTTTCATTCTGGTACCTTTAGAATTTTGTCTCCAGTGTTTTTATTTAAAACAGCTCTCTGTTATAACTCGATGCGAGCAGAAATAAATTCGATCGCCATATTATTCGAAAATCGATAAAATTGCCAACGATCGCCATTCGAATAATCAGTGTTTACATTTTGCAGTCGATTCTCTGAAATTACCCCCCGAATATTAAACTTTTTCTGGTTGGACCGCAACGAATGCTCTTTTAAATTCGACTTCTTTATCCCTGGTCGTCGCGGAGGTACTGCTTTCTGGATAATTCGTCGCACGGTTGTAACAGTAGCCGATGTTTCCACTTGGACAGCAATTTGTCTTGTCGGACGACAGCTATTCGATGCTTCTTGCAAGATTAATCGTCCTCCTCTTTGCGTTGTTGCCATTTCCGTGGGACTCTTCTTTCCTACTATCTTCTAACAATCTATCGATCTTAATATGCCTCTTAAATACCTCGAATGCTTCTAACATTATTTCAGTCCCTTCGTAATCGATGCTTGGAAACACTGATCGGTGCATACCATACACTAACCCCCAAGTGGACTCTCAAATCTCAAATAAATTATTTTACTTAATGCTCATTTCCCCCTTAAAGGGTTTACATAGAGGATTACATAAATTTTCAAATAATTACATTGGCATATATTAAATAATTATTAGTTATTCTATACAATTACTGTGGAAATAGTTCAAGCTCGAAGACCACTAAAGAATACAATTTTCTCGCGTAGAACTTGAAAGTCAAGTTTTGGTTAAAAATTGTCAAGTCGCCTTGCACCCTAAGGAATTAAATACGCGGTAGAAATAAAATATGGCGTCTTTGTTGGCCGGAGAGTAATCGTACGAGGCGCGATAACTCCCGGGTTGACCGATAACCGGGATTGCGGGGCCCCTCAGCGAGTCTGACCACGTCCCGACCCACATCACTTAGCAAACCTTCGACTCGGCACGTAAGTAGTTAGTACTATTTTGCCGCGACCGGGATCGAACTGGATAGGCCCAGACGGGAGATCGGCTGACCTGAATCGGTGGCGGCTTCGAAGGTAACCGTCGACGGGAAACAGCAGTTAAGCTGATTCTGCTCGATCCACTGACCGTTCCGTGTTCCGGAGCGGCCCAATCGTTGACCGGAAACCGGTATTTCTCCCAAAAACATATCTAACACGACCGACGATTACGCTCACTGAGCCGAGAGCGATTCTGGACGCGCTGTGTTGCGCCCCCCTGGTACGTGTCTCGTTTCGCGAAACGCCCCGACGGCGTGCACCTTTTGCTTACATCAAACGCGAATGCAGATATTTTTCGATCGATTAGCCGCGCATCGCGGACCTTCGATCCCCGTTTTTTACCCGCAACTTTCCTACCGATTGCTTCTCGTTTTGATTGTCGACTTTCATCGACTCTGTACTCATACTTTGTGAATGAGTTTCATATGAATTTTTCCCCCATTCATTTTTATTGAATGCAGTTTCTTGTGAGGGGTCCATCAAAACTGATAAACAGTACGCAACAATAATAAAACGCCAAAAATCCTAATCTGGTCGCGATGAACGCAGCTTCACTTCTGTGATCATTCCAAGTTTTTTATTTAAACCCTTAAATATCAAAATCCATGCAAAAATGGATCCACACCAAAAACAATGGCTCAATTCATGGGGAAACAAATTTTGTGTACGAATACAATTTGGATTGACTGCACACTCGATATACCAAGTATGAGTAACCAGCGTCGTTATTATTTCTAACATTGAAGCTATTGTCCTCGTGTAGAACGTTTTGCAAACGCAAAGTCGCCTAGGTAGCGTGTGTTCATCCTCGTGTTCTTCGAGTAACGGTCACTTTCTGCTGCAATTATTCCAGACATTGTTTAGAAAGTTCGCGCTAGGCGTGGCAAATTGGGGGAACCGTTGTTACACGAATCTCCCATTCGCAAGCAACAACTAGCATTCCGCTCGTCGCGTAAAATGACTGCTTAGGTACTCTTACGAAAGCTAAACATCGTTGCAGTGCACGTATGTTTGAGCTTAACCAGCGATCTCCGTGCACGTGCAGAGTAAACCGACCGTAGTTTCTTATAACACGGTGGGAATATTTCGACGATCCCCGCATAACATGATGAATCATGCTCGAATAAAGCGGTTGGGAGTTGCTGTGCCGGGCAACGTATGGGAATTTTCTGTTGCGTAAGCGTTTCGATACGGGCATCGAGCATCTACGCGACGCGACTTCGTAATATTTCCACGGCCAGAGAAATATTAACCGCGTTAAACCTTTTAAAACATTGATTCGTTGATCGCAAACAACGCTAGGATTTAATACGTCGAACAAATAAGGGATTCGTCATGCAACAAATACATTTCCATTTGATCGAAAACGGTCTCGAAAGTAAAATCAATTTTTAATTTAAATATATTCCCCCACCCAGCTCGTGGTCTAATTATATTTCTCTCCGCGATTGAAATAATAAATCAAGGAGAATCGAACGGCAAATAGAGGAACACCGATACCATTTCCTACGGGATTATTCTATCCGACGCGGACCCGGCGAAATTCCTCTCGAGGTAAATAATTCCGTTGGCGATTTTTTTCTACAAAACAACGGCGCATTTGTAAAAGGAAAGTTGCAGAGGATCGGGAAACACTACTCTCGCGAAACACCGTCCGAAATGTCGCTCTTAATTTGTTCGACCCTGTTTCGCGCGGAGTGGAGCTTTTTACCTTTACCTCGTAACGCGTGTTTTAGCAACAGGAAGTCCTTTGCGCAACGGATGCGCGCGTAAATAACGATGCGCATCGCGCGTCGAACGGAAGGGTCAATGAAAAATCAATACCGGGTAAACGATGCAGAGCGTAATTGAACGTTTGATCAATAAATGTCGTCGATGTTACGTCGCGAATGAATTTTACCTTCGAACGATATACGAAGGGACCCCACGATCGTGCGCCATTTCTACCCGTGAAAATATTGAAACCGATTACGAATTGAGTAATTTATTAATTAATTTTATAGGTTAATAGAAATAGAAATCGTCCGTTGTTCTGTTTGTTGAACTTAAATGATGAGTTGTGGTCTTTACTGTGCAGAGCTGGAAAGACGACTAGTGGGACGAGAGAGGGGCAAGAGGGGTACCCCGCACGCTCCACCCAATCCCCACCTTTGACGCTCCTCTAGCGACCATTCGACATTTGGTGACACGCTGTGACATAGAAGTAGGTCTGGGTTTAGTAGAATACGTCCGTTTCGACCAATAACGAACGACCATCGAGGATGTGTGTGTGTAGAGGCGTGACCATACCACTAGGATCCAATCGTACCCGCATTCCACCCGCTCACAGTCTTATCTGCTCTGCACAGTACCTGTCGCTGAATCGCATTGTCGATGTCTACCATAGAAATCCAATTTTGACTCGATGAACGTTTTAATTTCCAAGCAATGAAATAGATCTGGTTAATTTCATTATTACTCGTAGCAGCCTGCATGGCATGCGTTACCTTGTTCGAAAATCAGTCGCATGGTTTGAGTCTGTAGGACTGTGCCCGCGTGTGCTTACGTTTAACTGAAATTTCGTTAAATACGCGAGGAACATGATTTATGGAGCATCGAGATTGGGAACAATTAATTCCACGGAAAATTCGGTTTTTCTAGGGCGAACGTGATTAGTTGCATTAGTTTGTAGCCCCGTGCAGGATTAATTAGCTGCGGAACCGGTGCTGCAATAGCACTCGTGAAACCGTAGTCCGTTGGCAAACCATTAGGGCACCGCGTGGGTGGTTGTCAACAATGGTGGGATCAAGTTTGTTGTGTGCTCACGAGTATCGATCGGTTTACTACCTAAGGTTTCGTTTCGTTCTCACGTAGAGAGTTTCGATTGCGCTTATCAACGTTGCTGGCACTTTTCGTGGCACCAGTTGCTTTTCGAAATGCGTTCTAGCGTTTTTCTAAATTGCAAATAAAGCTGCAGTACTCGTTCGTCGAATGAAATTAAACTATTCGTCGGTGCGTTTATACGAGTCTTTGTTTTCAGAACCACGTTCTTTCCATCGTACTTTTTAAAAAGCATATCGATATTTTTTAATGAATCTTGCCTAGGCGCGGTTTTCTAAACAAACATCCTGCCCTTAAGTAGACCCTTAAGGTCTCATTTCGCGTCGTATTCGATATTCATCGCGGTACGTTCCCGATTGATCGACCCTCCAATTATTGAAACCTGGTTTGTGGTTTCTTCCGCAGTCGAGCCGCGTGCTGGAGGCCGAGAGATGGTTCCTGAGGGCCCGCAGGCTAGCGCCGGACGATTCGAGGGTCCACCATCATTACGGTAAGTGTAACCAGCAGCTTCTCTAATTACGAACGCGAGCCAGGCGACTCGAGGGGTAAGGAAAGAATCGATCATAGAACGATAAGCACGAGAATCGAAGTCTCTTTCTCCGCGGTTGGCCCAGCACTATCGGGAGGATCGGTAAGAGGGCTTCGTTTATTATTAAAGCAATGAAATACGGCCCCTTAAGAGCGTGCTCCTCGCTGTTCCCGGAGCAAATTGGGGTGGCCGATTCATCCTTTGGTCCATTGTAACGACGGTATAATTGATTCACCGGGAACTCGGTGCGTCGCGGGGGTGGCATTAGCCATTCCCCTCCGTTGTCGAAACCGGGAGGATGAAGAAACAATGGACGAGATTCTTCGGGAGTCGTTTAATAAGGATGATAAAAGGATCCGCCGTAAATACCCGGGTGTAATATTTCCCTAACGGTGGAAAGTGGATGCTGAAAGGCCGGCGAGCGTGGAAAATATAGAGAAGATTACCAGGGGGGGAATGAAAAATGGCGGCGTCGTGCAATCGGACGCGATCGACGGGTATTGAAATTCCAAGGGTGGGGGGTGGGAAAAGCGTCGCGGTTTCCAGTTTCCACCCGTTGCGTTTCGTCTCCTTCCGGGATCTTCGTTTTGACTCCGTTTTTGTCCCCGTCGAAAATCCGTCGAGTCCTCTCGCGAGGCGTCGCGGGGACATCGCTCAGCCCGAACCTTCGTGGCCGGGATTAATCTACTCGACGGGCGGGGGAAAAAAACCGCAGTCACGGGTGGAGTAGTAGTTTTCGAGGCGCAAAAAACGACGCGGTTTATCTCTTTTAACGGCACGCGTCATTAGGCGGTGGAAGAACGCGCTATACATCACGGACCCACCGGGGGATTTATGCCGACGAAATTTTTAGGGCGTCGATAGAATCTTGGATCAGCATTCGTGCTTTAATCGTGAGACTACACTCGTCGTCAAGTCTTATATATTGAAATCAATACCATCTTTCCGAAATTCGGGGCCCAGAATGGCCACTTGATAGAGGAAAGAGACTCTCGTGGTATTGGGGGGTTTCGACGGAGATGGTTGGATCGGAGAAGGTAAACTCGTCCGGTTCCCGTTTGCTTTCAGGACTGTTCCTGACGTCTCAGGGGCGGCTATCGGAGGCTGCGGAGGAGCAGCTACGCGCGGCGGAACTTTCCAGATCCGATTACGAGCTGTCGATGGCGGCGGCGTCGGCGCTGAGGCAGGCGGATCGCCTGGAGGACGCTGAGGTCTGGTACAGACACGCCGCCAGCCTGAGGCCCCACGAGGCGCGAAGTCACACAAACTTGGGCGCGATTCTTCACCTGAACGGGAAATACAAGCAGGCGGCGGCCGCGTACAGCGAGGCGCTCAGGCTGCAACCGAACGACGCAAAGACCATCATGAACCTACAGAAACTGGCGTCGATTCTGGCGTGACCACGCGACCACGGCACCGGCTTCGTCCCGGCCAACGCGAGTGACAGCAACCAGAGAGACGAGTGCGTGTATTATACGACCCCTGGAAAGACCCACTATCGACTCGCCGTACTTCTTGTACCCACGTCTCCCCGATCTTCCTCCCGATATTCGTTTATATCCGTCGACGAGCACGGCAACGTCACCGAACCGAGGCCCTCGGGGACCTCGCCGCGCTATCGACTCGTATCGCCTGCTATGGTATGTAAAGAATAAAGCTTCCTTTATTTTTCTCTAAAGACGTTACATTTTATTCCACCCTTACGGCCCTGTTCGAATTCACCAACATTCGACCGATAATAGAACTAAATTTCAACTCTACTATGGCGGGTTGAGAGCCAAATTTAACACTGAATTTGAAACCTTCGAGCTGCCTTCCATTTATCATAAAAATCGATTTACTTCTAAGTTCATACTTTGCCGAGAAATAATTACGAAAATTATCGAAAGAAGATGTCTTCCTGCGAATCGACTAGACTTTCAACGATGGTAAGTACTATATTAATATACTAGTTAACATCTTCCTAAGGGGAGCCACGAGAGAAAAGCGTCGTGAGTTTCCAGGCGGGGTGTGAGTGACCCTGACTGCGAAGGAAGCGGAAGTCGATCCTCTCTGGCGGCGAGGCGACGAAGCTCCATTAATATCGAATCTATTTGCACAACGACGCCGACTGTAATATTTAAGTTTACACTTTAAATCACACCCCCGAGCGACTCGCGAGCAGAGTCGTTGGGTGGAGGCGATGGGAGGCGGGAGAAAAAGACGGATGAAGGTAATACCGCGGGAAACGGTGGATACAGCGCCCGGAGGGTCGAAACTAGAGGGAAAGAGGGAAATGAGGGAGCGTGGCCACCTGTCGCTCTCGTCGCCCTGGCAGAGACAGTCTCGACAAACACTCGACAGGTGCCGCGCGACGGTTACCTACCTTTATTCCGCGAAGAACTTGCTTCGTTATCTTTAAAGCGGAACTCGTCGAGGACCCGGGGAGGCCAGGAGGTCGAAGAGGAGGGTTCGTTCGTTGAAGCACGGGCCACGTCGCGTGCCATTCCGTTTCGACCTCCGTCGGCCCCTTTTTGTCTCCCCCGCAACTTCGCCCTCTTCTTCTTCAGGATCGACTTCTTTCGCCTTTCCCCATTAATATTTCACGCGTACTTGCGACCGAGCCCGGACACCCCACCCTCTTGGCTTCGATTTCTGTAAGTAGCCTCGAAACTACGGCGCAAGAAACGACGTCCCGGGGCTTACTTTTCGCCCGAAATAAAAGACTACCCTTTTGGCACCCGGGACCCCCTTTTTCCCACCATCCAGGGGAATTTGGGGGCTGTCGCGCGAACGAGTTTCCGAATCCTACTCCTCTCTATTCTACTGATTCTATCCGCGTAGTAGCGTTGGTAGAAATACGAAAAAATGGTCATCAATTTTTTCCCTTGTATCAATTTTTTTGTACCCCGGGAATGGGGAAACGAGCTACGACTTGTCCCAGTTTCTGGAATCACCCTATATAACAGCACATTGTGCGCCAAGCTCTGTGCTCGTTTTTTCTGGAAGTCACATTTTTCAAGCTCGTTGGCGTATCTCGGAAGCCAGTAAATCGATCGGATTAAAATTTGACGCGTATGCAAAGCAAGTGCCGGCGTGTCTGGCCCGCAATAAACTAATTCCTGTTTCCGCCCTTTGACAAAATAACTAAATTTCCTGGGGTGGGATTCAATTTTTTCGGGTTTCGATATTTATTATTTTTTTCGACGGAACGACGTAACTGGAAACTCGCTGAACAATGTGTATATACCTCTCGAAGGAGATTGGCGAATAAAATGTACTCTTTCCACAGAACTTGTTTTTTTAATCGAAACCTTCGTACGTTGCGAAAAAAAAATATCTCAAATATCACTGAATTGTCGGGACTCTGAGCTATTCCCTCTGCAGCCACTGAATAGAATATTGCAACCTACATTTCCGGTTTTTTAAATATGCATTAGGTCCCTTCCACCTCGTATAAATTTTAGTAACATATGATTAAAGTTTTACTGGTATAATCATTCGTTTAAAGTAGGATAGTAAGCATTATGTGCAATAAACATTTGGAAAACTGTAACATCCCTTAAATATTTCAATGGCAAGAGAAAGAGTTTCACGAGAACTTTTACCAACCAAAAAACCAATGTGGGAAGAGCGTCAAACTATTTTAGCAATTCGACGAACATTCAGTGTCCTTTTACTCTTTTGGAAACGAAGGGATTAAACGTCATTGATTCCCAGACAGTCGTCGAAACGATTCAGTGTGGAACGTCCCGTGCCTCGACCTTTTATTTCCCCGTCCTCCCTCGTTTCACCCTCCTCCCGCGTCTCGTCACGCCGAACTCACCCTCCTCGCTAACAGATTAAACGTATCGCCGTTTCGTTTCCTCTTCTCCGATTCTCGTGCCGTCGGTTCTCCGCTGAGCGACGTTAATTCTTATAATTAGTCACAGTCAAGACGTTTTCGCGCGGAATCTAGGTCACCCTCTTCGACACACTTATCCTCCCCGCTTTTCCGCCTCGAGAAACGACGAACCTGACAACTCATCCCCCTCGTTGCCCCGCGAGACTGAAACTTGGGCAAAGAATAAATTCTACACTCACGAATCAACCATTAAATCCTTTCGTTCGATCTGATGTTTCGCTGTTCAAAAGTATCGAATCCGCCCTCTAAAGAAGCACAAGAATATACAACGATACACAACAGAGGGTTAAAAAAATGAATCCAAGGACAGTGATTAAAATTTAGAAGCCAGGAAAGGGGCAGTGGACCATTTCGACAGTACGAACGTCTCGAGAACCCTTGTTTCGCGTCACTATTTAATTCTAGGAGTACTTGTTCGGTCCTTGCTCCCTTTGAAACTTTTAAATGCGTCGCTGGTCGCGTGTACTTCGCGTTTCAGGATCCAGCGACGTCGGGCGATTACTCCGTCGTCGAGGATCCCTATTTTTCACGGGAACTTCGACGTTCCCGTTTGTCTACTTCCCGTTCCCTTATTGACATTCCGCACCGCGCGCTTTTTCCCCTCCTGTTCCCCGTCGCAATAAGAGATGGACCAGCGGGATAGGCAAACATTTATTATGCCGGAGGAGTCCCCCGGGAGAGGGTCGACCTCTCGATACAAAGGCGTCCCGCGAAACAGAGGGCTCGTGCTCCAAGAAACCCGTTGAAAGGCTTCAGACGATGTGGCGCGGTTAATGGCGTCGTTTTCCGCTCCGCTCGTCGCGGAACGGGACTCGAGGGCTGCCCGTAGATACAGCCTTGTCTCGACGACGATATACTCCGGGAGTTTAGCACGCGAGGGGGAAACGTACGTCCCGGGGACAATGGAATCGCCTCGTCTTATTATTAGCGAAACAAACAGAAACCTACCGTCGCGAAAACGAGTGATCGAACGAGATCCGAGTCTCACGAAGCACGTCAAGAGATAGAGATTTTCGACTCATCCACTTACTAGTGCTGTTTCACATTGATGAGGAATATTCGCCAAAGTCTCGAAAATTGACCAGACTTTACACGAAAGCTATTCCAGGGAATTCCCTAAATTTACCACCTTCGAAAATGCTCTTGAAAACGAATTTTCTTTCAAGTGGATACCGTAGTTAATTCCGGGGGAAACAATTATTTAACTAATTAATGACACGGTAATTATGGAAACACCCTGTATACAAATTTAAATTAATTTTGTGTCGCATACCAGTCCTACGATTAATAGGAATTGTTGAAACTTCTTTTAGTATGTAACGTCAAAGTAAATTGCAAAATAAACATAGAAGACAACATAAAATGTGGTAGTTTGTATAGTCATCTGATAGGGGATGAAATGCCCTTTAAAATGAGCGTTTGTGCGAGTCGATAGCTTTATTAGTTCCGGAGATATAGTGATTTTAATTTCAAGACGATGCGGTGGCTAGTTACGGAGATATAAGGGTCCGAAGTTTGTTTACGTTTTTGTTGCGCGCGCGCGAGTTCATTCATCTCGCGCGCGTAGATAGTAAACAGTGCGTAGTAAATTCTTGGAAATACTACGCGGCCGAAACTAGGTCACGAGAGTCACGTTTCACGTGCGAGCGAGAGGTCCAGCGCGACGCGTCGGACGGAGACAGAGATAGTTCAAATTAAAAAAATTACCCTTTACATAAATTACGATATCTCCGAAACGGTAAGTCGGATCGTCAAAAACCAAAAGCCGTTTCGAAGGGGAGGCTTCACTGCTGCCAACGGCGGTTCAATGATTAATAAAACGCTAGTAGTTTCGGAACTGCACGCGTCTAAAGTTTTATGATTTTTAATACGCGTGAATAGGCTATTATACGCGAGCCGGACAGCGAGACAGTCGAATTAAAAGAAATTACCTTTTACATAAATCACGATATCTCGAAAACGGAAAGTCGGATCGACAAAAACCAAAAGCCATTTTAAAGGGGAAGCCTTGCCGCTTTTAACAGTGGCTTAATTATGAATAAAATTCTAGTATAGACGGTATAAAAAAGATTGCACATATATCCATCGCAGAAATTCAATTTACATATTACAAAAAGCGTACAAGAGGAAAGGATATTTTTACAGCGAAGATAAATAATATAGAGACTCGTAATTTGATTATAAACCTGACTTTTCAACGAGATTTTAATGGACAAAAATTCGAGCTTGCATATTCATCGACTTGCAAATCCCCGTCGATCGGTAGAGTCGAAAAATTTCCCAAATATCTGGAACAGCGATTTATACGCGATTCGACCCAAACTGCTGACAAATAGAATTTAAATTACGTTTGCTTCGAGCCCACCGAAATTTGCAAATTTCTTCGAGGCCTCGTCAGGCTCGATATTTTAATTTCCATAATCGTTTGAATATGATTTTGAAGAAATCGTGGCCTGATATTTCCCAGGCGTCCGTTCCAGGCGTATCTCGGTCGCGCAACTAACGTTTCCAAGCTCGATAAGAGCTGTTCATTAATCAGCACGCAGCCTCCGCTTGCTGCGTCCTCGCAGGCGCGGGTGGCTGACGTCCGCTTAATCGTCTACGTTGTTAACGACCAAGGATCGCGTTAGACTACGCGATTACCGTCGGAGACGTCCTGGGGCGGTTCGTTGCGTAACAACAACGCAGTCGATGGGTTCCGTCGGGGCTCCGCGAGCCGG